TGGCTACACCCTTTCCCTCTGGGTTCAAGTGTGTGAAGGGACCAGAGGAGGAGAGCGTTGGTGAAGAGGAGAGGCGCCGATTTCACTCGTTGGTGGGCAGCCTCATGTATGCGGCGGTAAACACCCGACCGGACGTCGCGTTTGCTACCGGGCAGCTGGCTAGGGTTGTGCAATGCCCTAATGAGGAGCAGGTAGCAGCTGGAATGAGGGTGGCCAAGTATCTTGGCCAAACACCGACCGTTGGGCTGCAATACTCGGCGGCGGCACAAAGGCGCCAAAAGGGCGCGGATGGTGTTGAACCCGGGCGTTTGTTCCTCACCGCCTACTCGGATGCTTCATATGCATCAGAACCAGAGGACATGACAAGTGTGGGAGGCTTCATATGCTGTGTTGGTGGAGGCCCAACTGCTTGGGAGAGCAAGAAGCAGGTTGACCAAGCTTTGAGCTCGGTGGAGTCCGAGTACATGGCACTCTTCCGTGCCGTACGGGAGATTGTGTGGCAGCGGCGTTTGTTGGCTGAATTGGGGGAGGAGCAGCAAGGACCTACCCCACTGTACTGTGACAGCCAGGGTGCCATTGCTCTTGCTAAGAACCCTGTGTTGCATGGACTCACGAAGCACATGAGGGTGAAGTGGCATTGGACGAGGAGCATGGTAACCGCGGGTGAAGTTGAGTTGCGCTACGTGAAGACCACGGGGCAGCCGGCTGACATGATGACCAAGAGGCTGGTGGAGCAGCAGCATTGGAAGTGTTGCAAGCTGGCTGGGATGGCTCTGAACTGAGAGAGCAACATATCCTAAGGCCAACAATCCGAGGGGGAGTTTGTTGGTGCAACCCTACGGTTTGCACTCGGCTTGTTGTCCGTGTGCGTGAATGTGTGTGTGTATGGAATGGTATGAGGGCATGGGATAATATATATTTCATGCTTATAATTGTGTGTGAATGTTGAGTCATGATGTCGAGTGTGTGTGTCGAGTCAATAGCGAGTTATCGCTAGACGCGTGTTACGCGGTCGTTTGTGTCTCGCGCGCGGTTTCTATATTGTCGTGCGCGGTTTCTATTTTGTCCTGTGTCGAACGTTCGGCGTGTCGCAGGTGTGTCGACTTGGGTGACGCCGACCAGGGGAAGCCGACTAGGTGTGGTCGGCTGACAGGTCTACTGGTCGACCTGGAGTTGGTCGACCAGGTGGGTTGTCGACCTGGAGTTGGTAGACCAGAGGAGTGGTCGACCTGGTGTGGTCGACATGAGGTGGTCGTCGACCTGGGCGGTCGACGGGCCTGGGATGACACACCTGGTCGACATGGTTGCCTGGTTGACCAGGTTACCCGGAGGACGAGGTCTGCAAGGATTCGCGACCGTCGCCCAGGTAGATCGGCAAAGTCGACCTGCGGTTCGGTGGCACGTGGTCAACAGGACTCCTCAGGTGCAACCGTCGACATATGGTCGACTTGGCACCTGCGCAATGTGCGTGGCGGTGCATGTCGTCACCGTCACTTTGCACCCGCGAAGTAGGTGCGCACACATGAGCATGTGTGGTGACCTGTGGTGGCCTATTGTTGGTGTGCTGGCACGCCAGCCTTGCAGGTCGACTAGCTGGCAAGTCGCCTTCGTGCTGAGCTGGTGGTGGACTTGTATGCTAGGCTTCTGATGTAGTCTATCTTGCCAACCTAGTTGCTACCATTTTTTTGTTCTCAACTTATGATAAGTAATACTCTTGCGGTTTTGCCCCGTGAATGCACAAGTGCTAGAGAACGACTAAGGGAACAAACCCAGAGATCCCTCCTACCCCATGCCTAGCCTGTAGTCTAGCTCCCGTTGATAGAGTTATCCCCGCAGATCTCGGCCTCACAGCTGGTACTAAGCACAGAAGAAGAACGAGTGGACCTCCACGAGACAGAACCAGAGCCAAGATTGAAGGTGTAACCCTGTGATGAACGCTGAGTCGCCTGGTCGTCGGCCCAAGAAGCGTCGGAGTGTCCTTTGAGTACCACTTAACCCTGTCCTCCAAGCACTAGCCCCATGCCCGATGTACTGCACAAGTAAAGCAGTACCCTCTTCGCAGCATCCCAGTGCACCTTTTTGGTGTCTACCGGGAGCCACGTAGCGAGCCACGAGGCTGAGAGGGTACGCGAGGTCAGGTCGTGTGCACGTCATCGGGTACATGAGGCAACCCACATGCTCTGGGTACGTACCACTCGGCTCTATAGACTCGTCCGAAGGTGGAGCTGAGAGCGAGTGGCCCGTAGACAGAGGAGTGGGCTGTGGCGAGGAGAATTGGAAGGCGAAGCGTTGAAGGACCTGGTGCACCATGTGTGACTGAGTCAGTGTGATGGTGCGCCGTGCTCTGTCCCGGGTGATCTGCAAGCCAAGATAGCTACGCAGCTCACCCAGGTCAGTGCAGGTGTGTCTCTCCTGCAGCTCCGCCTTAACTAGGGCCAGCGCCTCAGTGTCAGCAGTAGCAAAAACCAAGTCGTCGACGTACACTAGAACGTAGAACGGCGGTAGGGTAGTGTCGGTGCGTAGAAACAACGACGGGTCAGCAGAGGAAGGAGCAAACCCAAGAGCCGCAAGTGTAGTCCTCAGTGTGTCGTGCCACTCTCGGGGCAACTGGCAGAGACCGTAGACTGGCCGCCGGAGGCTCCACTGGGTACCTGCAGGAAAAGAATTAGTGAAGCCAGGTGGGTAGTGCAGCCAGAACTCCTCGTGAAGGCTGCCTTGCAAGAAAGCTGTGGAGAATTCGAGGGAGTGCAGCTTGTAGTCACGCTGTGCTGCAACGTGCAGCAGCACCCGAAGAGTACTCATCTTCGGGGTGGGGGAGAAGGTCTGGAAGAAGTTGACCCCCTGTCGCTGATTGAAGCCTCGAGCAACGTAATGCGCCTTGAAGGCAGGCGGAGAACCCGGCGGCCGCTTCACTCTGAAAGTCCACATGCCATCGACTATGTTCGCCCCAGGAGGAGGAACCTCGTCGATGTAGGTGCCTGTGGACTTCCAGGAAGCCATCTTAGCGTCCATGGCTGTCTGCCACTTAGAGGAGTACTCACCCGCGATCGCCTCAGCGTAAGAGCGCGGGGTAGGGATGTCAAGTGCATCAGGGTCTCCCTCAGGGCAAAGCAGCATGGATGCGAAACGAGGTAAAGCGGCCGCAAGACACTCAAGCTCAAACTGTCTATCCTCAAGTATGTCACTACCAAGGGCAAGCTCACCCCCAACGGACGGAGGACAGACAGTCTCAGACTCAGTGACAAGACTCGCGACGTAGTCGACACGACTCCTAGCTGCAAAGTCGACTAGCGGCATGTGCAGCATTGGGAGAGAGAGGAGAGGCGGCAGCTGATTACTCACACCCGCCACCCCCATACCCTCCCCCCCACTGCTGCATGCGCAGTAGGGGGATGGTGGAGAAGGGGGGGGGCGGGGGGGGGGGGGGGGGCGGTGTAGGAGCTGCGCGGGCGACAGCAGGGCGCGCGACGGGCAGGAAACCAACGCGCGCCCGGGGCGCGTGACGGGCAGCAGAGTGGCGCATTAGCAGAAGCGAAGGGTGGGCCCAATGAGGCAGGTCCTAGGAGGAACTTGGCTCTGATAGCATGTCAGAATCACTGTGTAGGAATGACTGGATTAGCAAGAGTTGGGGTACAAATACTAACCCTGCGTGACTTTAGTTGTACTGTGATCTATATATATATCTGCATGCTTACACTTGTTAGGGTATGATCACTGTATTCTTTGTTTTCTTTTATATAACTCTGCATGTGAACTGGCCTTGTGGCCCTCTGCTTGTGCTCGGACTGTGTGGTGACTTTGTGATCCACCCTGAGCTTGTTTTGCTTTTCTTGACCGGTCTTGTGACCATTTGTTCTCCCCCACTTTGCCTATGGGGGTGTGTCAGAATGTTTTAGTGCTTACATTTGTGTAGGCTATAGTGGGGTAGCCCACAAGGGGTACAACCCAATTAGGGTTAGTACTTGTACCCAACTTTTGCCCAATGCATTCATTCTCGTCCGTTAGTTTTGACACGTCCAAGATCAATGGACTGGGCGTGCATACTGGGGTTGACTCCAGTGCGAACACCGCTCTGCGTAGACTCCCGCGCCTTGCCAGTCCCTCCGCTCTGCTGATGACACCTCTGTCATTGGGTTGGTTTCGCGGCGGGGCTGGGTCATTGACTGCTTCGGTTGCTTCAGCATACAGCTGATCCCATTCGCTACGCATGAACAAACGGATTCGTGCTTTGATTTTTTGCCAATCCGGGCGTTTTGGCGAGGTCTGGCGAAGTGTGAGATGCGGGAGAAAAATCAGCAGGCGCCAGCCTGCGATAGAGCCCGGGTTACGCGATAGATGCAAGAGTGGTTTTAGCAGGCATAGCGAAAATAGCTGACAGAGGTTTGGCGCCAATCTGCGGGCTAGCGAGGGTTGGCGATTGTCGCAGAGCGGGGCAATATCTCAGTTCACAAGTGATGCGAACCGGGCATTGTGTGTCGCCAGCTCCTCTGGCGAGTAGTAGCGCTGAATCGGGACCACAGGCGCCACGCTGGCCTGACGCCTCGCGGTCCGATTTGTACGGCCGCGGCTCGAAGAGGGGGTTGGATATTGGGTTGGATTTCCGGCCGTACGATCGCCATCGTGCGGCTCACCCTCAGCTCGATGAGACTCCTCTGCACCCCGCTGCTCCGTTCGACTTCTGCTCGCAGCTTCTTCCCTTTCCCGATCGCCATCTTCCTCTTCACTGCTACTACTAAGGAATTCTGGCTCCTCCCTATAAGGAGGGTCGGTACGCTCCTCCAGATCGATATCCTCGCCTATTTTTGTTAAGGCCTGCCGTTCCGCTACCCGGAAGGCGTTCTCCGGACCGCTGCCCACACCTCTAGCTACTCGTCCCCCGCAGCCTCGACCCCCTCCTCTCCATGATGGTGATTGAAGGCTGGCTTGAGCCAGAGCGCGTTGTCGTTGCGTCTGCTGGTTCCGGTAGGTCACCGACAGTGTCTGGCTCGGTGACTGCCTTAATGAAGCCGCCATTGCCGTCTGCACCAAAACCGCTTCCCTCCGCGCTCGCGGCCCCGAATCCACCAAAGCCGGCTCTACATGTCGCAGAGCCTCAACCCCCTGCTGCGGCTGCTCCTCACGCGCACACTCCTGCGGGGCCTGCTCCCATGGCTCCTGATGCTCCCATTGAGTCTCCGGCTCCCCTTGTCGTTGTTGATGCCCCTCCGGGTGCCCCGATCCTCGCTGTGCCGCTTGCCTATGTCGCCCACGCTGCACCGATCGCTGCTGTTGGTTCGTCCCTGCACGCGGTGTCCGCCACCACTGGCGGCCCGGGCCCAGGGGGGGTGGGGGGGGCCATTGCGCTGTCGGCTCCCGTCTTACCGACTGCGGCGACATCGGTGCCGCCCCCGGACGTCCAGGCGGTTCCTGATCTTGGGCCGCTCGCTGCTGCCCCCCCTGCTCAGTGTCAGCCATCTCCGGGCCGCCGGCAGCATCGGCCTCACTCCCCTGCGCCACGTGCCGAGCGAGAGACGACACGGCGGCGACACGATTCTCCTCGGCGCCGTGGGTCCCAGGCGAACTGGGCTGCATCCCGTGGCGGTCGTGGTGGCTGGTGGGGGGGGCGCGGTCGTGGTGGCGGCTGGGCATATGATCAGCCAGTAACGATGGCTGATTTACAGCGTGTTGTTTCTGATGCGATGCGACAGGAGCGAAACGGGCAGGCGAGCCAGAGCAACTCGCCGCGAGTCGCTCCAGCGCATGCGTCCCTTCCTCCGGCTTCGCCCTCTGTGCCTGCACCTCTTCTTCCCCAGTCAGCCGTTCCTCCTCCTCCTACTCCCTCTGCATCTGCTGTCGCTCATGGGAACCGTATGCTCCTGCCGTGGGTTCCTCCTGTGGTGGGTATGGAGTTCGTGACCACGGCAGGAGGACCGGTGACGGCGCAGTATCCATCCCTACTGCCCGTGGCTCCTTCTCCTCCGGCTGCAACGGTGCCGGTACAGCCTCTGGTGGGGTCATCTTCTTTAGCTGTGGTGCCGGAGGCGTCTCTGGGGCAGCTATGGCGCCTCTCTGAGGGTCTGCGGGCTGTGCACCTGATTCAGGTGTATGGTCACGCGGCTCTCTCCCAGTGTGTTCCTCTGGATGGTGGCCCTCAGGACGAGTGCTTGGATGCCGCTGATCGGCTGGCCGAGCTCCTGGCGCCCGTGTTGGCTGTGCCCGCGCGGGGTGGATTTGCGGGCGTTGGACAGCTTGGGATGGCAGTCCATCGTCTGTGCCGGTTTTTGCGCACAGGGACTGCTGTCGACTTGATCGGCGCAACCACAGTGGTGGTGCGCGAGCTTCATCGCTCACTGACGGGTCTTCTCGCCATCCTTGATGCGGATCAGATGTAGCGTCCGCCATGGCTACCTCCATGGTCATCCTAGGCTGTATTGGAGCTTGCCATGTTATGTAATGCCTCCGTTATAAACTTGTTTTTCCCAATGCTCTTGTCTGACCTCGCATGCGGCCGAAGGCCACGAGCGGCGGATTTTCTGCAGCCCAACAAAATAATGAGGGTGAGAGAGGTCAAGAGAGGCCTCTTATAGCTAGGAAACAGAGGACTGAGGGCTAGGGGCAGAGGCTAGGGTCCTCTCTCTCTCTCTCTCTCTCTCTCTCTCTCTCTCTCTCTCTCTCTCTCTCTCTCTCTCTCTCTCTCTCTCTCTCTCTCTCTCTCTCTCTCTCTCTCTCTATCTCTCTCGCTCTCTTGAACGAACGAGCCAGATTTTCTGCAGTCCAACAAAATAATGAGGGTGAGAGAGGCCAAGAGAGGCCTCTTATATCTAGGAAACAGAGGACTGAGGGCTAGGGGCAGAGGGCAGAGGGCAGAGGCTAGGGTCCTCTCTCTCTCTCTCTCTCTCTCTCTCTATCTATCTATCTATCTCTCTCTCTCTCTCTCTCTCTCTCTCTCTCTCTCTCTCTCTCTCAATCAGTCCATATTAATATATAGGGGGTTACATGCATGGCAGGAGGATTATCCAAGGACTAGCTAGGTTGACAAAGCAAGCAGCAGGAGAGCTAGCTAGGCAAGCTAGAACAACATAGCTACGACATCCAAAACTGCTATGGCTGATATAGCACCCATGAGGACGCCTGTGTGTTTCTTGCAGCCCGGCCTTCATCAAGCTACACAAGCCCCTACTCCGGTCTGCCTACACCCTTCCTTCCACTTCGGGCCCCCTAGCCACCTACTCCATCTTCCAGCACCTGCCACAAATCTCCCAACCGTGGCTCCCATGGGTCAATGGGTGCCTGTGGGGAGGAAGCCTTTGCAGCACGGTTTGACTTAGTGAGGAGGCCCGTCGCCTGGCACTGCTGCAACATCACTGAGAAGCTCTGGCAGTAGTGGGCGTTGAGCCTTGCCGCCACCGTGGTCTGAGGACCATGGCGGAAGCCCCACTTAGCAGCGTTAGTGGCCAGCATCCTGAAGAACTTGACCGTATCTGCTGCTAGCGCACCATAGGTCTATACTACCAAGCCGAGGAACCCCACACATGATGGCCTCTCCTCATAGAGTTTGTGCTTATCGATGCTCGCCTCCTCCGCCGCCCACCCTGGGGCCCTTGTTGCCTCAAGATCCCGCCGCTGCAGCACCATCATTCACGGTGACATCATTCACCCAAGTCTCTGCCGTCTCAGGGTCCCGAATAGCCAGATCCGCCCGCTTTCTATCCACTGGGGGTGAGTAAACTGTCGTCTCATGCAATGTCATATACTTTGCCTCCTTCGCCATGCGCAGGCACACGTAGACTAGTGCGTTGTGCATCCTTGTCCGGTCCCCACCCTTGCCGCATCGCAGTAGCTGATTGTGTAGGCATTTATCGGCTGTGGCGGACCGTTCTCGGTTGCACGGGCACTAATATGTAATGGGCAGTGTAAGGCCTAGGCGCAGTCCTAGCGCTAGAGAGAATTTCCCGGGCGCCAACGTGACATCTGCCCGGGTCGGTACTGCATTGAGCCAGTCCCGGGTGCCTGTGCCCTGTAGGCTTAGTAGGCATAGTGGGTGGCCATTGTCCACTCCAGGTCTGTCGATTCTGGTGTCAGCTACCAGCTCCGCCGCCTTGGCTGTGTTGATGTGGTTAGAAAGCAGTAGCTGCGGGTTCTGCCATGTGTTCATCTGGGTTCTGGACTCCCCCAGCACCAGTCTTGCTTCCTCAGGCAGGCGGGCTTCTAGCTCCGCCAGTGTCAATTGCTCCTCACCTGCGGTAGTGTGATCCGATGAGAGTAGTGTGGCGACTCTAGTGAGGGTATGGTCCCGTGGCGTGTTGAGCTGCTGCAGGAGGAGCTGTGCCACACTGACGGATGATAGGTAGGCCGCTGGCGCCTCTAAGACAGGATCGATGAGCCCCAGGCCCCCCAATCTGACCGGCAAGGTGGCTTGCCGCCAAGTCAGGCTGTGTTCCAGCTCATCCGTCAGGACGCGTATCTTAGACGCCTCCAGTGAAGTCCGTAGGAGGCTTTCGCTCCAGCTTCGCCAGTCGTCCAGGGGCAGGAGTTGCGCCAGGGTTGTACACAGGAGGTAAGAGATTATTCTAGAGATGCAGCGGGAGAGGAGGAGGAGCGCGTGTTGGGGGTGGAGCTGCCTGATTAGGTCGCATGATGATGCCGCCTCCGTCAAACTGTCTCGTAAGAACCCCGCGCAGAACTCCGGTGTCCCTAACGGGCTCCCAAGCACCCTTATACCGCCTCTCTCCACCGTGATTCCGTCTGGGAGTTCTGTTTCTCTTTCACTCGTGCCTGGTCCCCATGCTGTCGACTTGGAATAGTTGCAACGGAGCCCACAACGCTGCAGGCCGCTGGCGAGGAGGTCAAACGCTCTCCTTGCCGCCTCCGGAGGGCCCACCACCGTTATGTTATCCGCATACGCCACGATCGCGACTTCGGTGAACGCCATGGTGACATGGAGCAGGACGAGTTGTATAGCAGCCGCGAACAATAGCGGGCCAAGGGGATCACCCTGGAGAACTCCCCTTGTGCTCATGACCTTCTCCTCGCCGAACACCACGTCCAGAAGTAATGCGGACAGGCCATCGTAGAGGTTCCTAACCAGTGGGATCAATGGGTTCAGCTCCGACCATTGAAGCGCGTTCATGAATGAAGCCCTTTCTACGCTATTAAACGCATTTTCAACGTCAATCTGGATGGCGATTCTGGAACCATCATCTTCTAGTAACGCCCGGACCGAATGGATTATGCACTCCGCGCCGCCCTGGACCGCCACGCCAAACTGGACTGGTAAGAAAAAGTTGTTAATGGATGGGGCCAGTTCTCTCTCTCTCTCTCAAGCAGTCATGTATTGATAGTGGTCAAGAGGTACAGGCATGGCAGGGGGTGGTTGTAGCTAGTCAATCTAAGCATGAAGGCAACTAGGTACTAAGAGCTAGTAAACAAGCAAGCAAGCAAACCAAGCAAGCAAGGCATGCCGTGTGTGTACACTAGTCCCCTAGTACTGAGAGCACCCGGCCAGCAGCAACTCCTGTCCCTAAAGACCTCCCTCTCCTCCTATCCCGTGGCTCCTCCCCTGCCTTAGTTCCCCTACCCCCTGTCCTCCTCCCTGCAGCTTCCTCTCATCTTCCTTCCACTACCCTCTTTTCCCTCCAGCCCCTCTAAGCCGCTCTGGCAGGAGCCTCTCGCTCCTCATACTCATCCTCTGTCATCTGCCAGAGGTCCCCCAGCCATGGGGCCCACGGGTCCCCCGCCGCCTGTGGGAATGTTGCTTCTGCTGCACGGTTGGACTTGGACAGGAGGGAGATGGCCTGGCTTCGCTGCAGCATCACCGACCATCTCTCGCGGTAGTGTGCATTGAGCCGGGCAGCAGTAGTTGTAAGCCGCCCTTTCCTGAACTTGGTCTCTCTCTCTCTCTCTCTCTCTCTCTCTCTCTCTCTCTCTCTCTCTCTCTCTCTCTCTCTCTCTCTCTCTATATATATATATATATATATAATGGACGGTGTATTGATATAGGGAATGGATACAAACATGTATGGAAAGAAACCGAGGGCTAACAATAAACATGCAAACCTACCCACACACCACCTAGAGCTCCACAAGGGGCTCAATCACAGCAAAGCAGTCACTAAGATGAAATTCAGTTTGTACCCTTCCCACGGGGGGGGTTTCTGCAGCTGCCGCTTCACACGACTTGATAAGGTAGCCCACGGACTGGGCCCTCTGCAGGGTGACTGACCACCGCTGCCTAAACTGGTGCAAGAATTTTGCAGCCTGGTATGACTTTGGGTCGGCGTTGAAGTGTCGCCGAGCTGCTGAGTCTGCTAGTAACTTCGGAAAAACTGGTACATCCGCACAAGGGCAGCCGTATGTTTCCACGGCTAGGGGAAAGAAGCGCACAATCTCAAGTAGGTTGGCATAGTGCTTTATCTTCTTGTCGGCCTGCTCCCTTGCTGCCCATCCCCTTCCCTTGGTCGCATCGGGGTCCCTGGTGCTGATGGGATCTGTGATTGTTACATCACAGACATATACTGCAGCGCTGCTCCTGTCCCGCATGGTGAAGTCCGCCGTTTGCTCATCAACCGGGCAGTATTCGGCCGTCTCTCAATGCACAATGAAGCCCGCGTCTAGGGCCATGCTGATGCAGGCATCGCGCAGTTTATTGTGTGTGTTGATGCGGTGCTTGCCCGTGCCGCAGCGGAATAGATGGTTTGGGAGACGGGGGTCTGTGATTGCCGTGTGCTCATTGCAGTCATAGTTCGCCGACGTGGAGAATGGTAGGCCTAGCCGAAAGCGGACTGCATTTGCGAAGTGGACAGGGCCGATGCGCCACATTGTCTCGATGGGGATCGCTGTCAGCAAGTCACCGGTGCCATAACCGGTTAGTGAGAACATCCTCTATGTATGCCTTGATAGCGGGTTCAGCTGCATGCACATGGTTTCCCGCACCTGGACCACGTACCTACTCCTGCACTTGAAGCGCTAGAGCATGCTGCAGCCTGATTCCTTTCGGGTCTAGTCTCTCCTTCTCCAACACCTCCCTCGCGTCTGTGGGCAATGCTGCTTCACACTCGCCCAGCCACGCGTGCAATGGTGTGGTCACATCTTGCGGCAGAAACATGTGCGTCTTGACTCTCGAGAGGATGTGGTTAGCATCTAGGGGCAGCGAGTCTATGAAAAGCGCCGCCTGGCAGAAGCTCGCTAGGAATCCGTGAATCCCCTCTATGGACGGGTCTGTAAGACCAATCCCCCCAAGTGACAGTAGGAGCGATGCCTGCGCCTAAACCCGCGATTGCTCCGTGGAGCTGGTTGGTGCAGGTATGTCGCACGCTCTTAGTAAGGTGGTCAAGAGGTCCCTGCCCCATTGGGCCCATGTCTCACGCGCTAGAAGGTTCTGGTGAGGTACGCTACGCGACGAAAGATGCAGCGTGTGAGGAGAAGCGAGACCACCTGTGGGTCTGTTTGCTCCAGTAACGGCAGCGGCTTCGCCATCTCCTCTAGTTGCGAAATTAAGAACTTGGCAGCACTTGCAGGCGGACTAAGGTAGCTGCCCAAGAGACGCACTCCCTCTGTACACAGAGGCACACCCGGCGGAAGTGTAGTGGCGCTAATGCTGTCTTTGCACCAGGCTGCGCATTTACCTGGGTTGTGCGTGAGGCCGAGGTGTGCGAGTTGGTCTGTGAAGTGGTTGAAGGCAGCTACTGCAGCGGCTGTTTCCCCCTATGAATGTTAGGTCGTCAGCGTAGGCGAGGCACAGCACCTCAGGATGGGCCGTGGCTGTGTCGCGTAGTGCAGGGTGTATTCCAGATGCGAAAAGTAACGGACCGAGTGGGTCCCCCTGGCGGACCCCTCGTTCGCGTTTCAGGGGTTCGGTCTCGAAGTTGGCGTCCAGGTGCAGCTGTGACGGGTTACTGTAGGTCAACTGAACCAACGGTAGTAGTGGCGAAAGACTGGGCTCCTGTAACGCTGTTGCAATCGCCTGTCGTGAAATGCTGTTGAAAGCGTTCGCGATGTCTGTTTGTAGTACCAGGCTGTTGGGGCGTGTGTCCATGAATGCCAGGGCTGTGTGGATAACAGCCTCTGCTCCGCCCGGCACTGCAACGCCGTACTGTAGGGGCAGAAAATATTCGCAAGCTGCTTTGACCATGGCAGATAGCGCTGCTTTGGCTATCAGCTGAGTCAAGCATTCGCCTATCGCGATTGGCCGCGCACCTCCCCCAGGCTTGGCTAAAGCTATGAGGCATGATGCCGTCAGCAGGTCTGCGACCGGCATCATGCCCAATAGTTTGGCAAATTCGGCGTGGGTGATGGACAGGTTTGGCGCTCCCGTTGCTTGCCAGGTCAGCATCTCATCTCCAGTTGGCGGGTGTTTCCGGCGAAGCTCGTCCAGTATTTCTGGACATGGTGTACAGACGGGCGTTGACTCCATGGCCAGCACGGCTCGGCGCAAACTGCCACGTTTTGCCAGGCTCTCAGCTCGGCTGATGACTCTTGTCACATCGGGCTAAGGCCTCTCTCTATCTCTCTCTCTCTCTCTCTCTCTCTCTCTCTCTCTCTCTCTCTCTCTCTCTCTCTCTCTCTCTGCCTGCTTCCCTGGCCATCCGCACTGCCGCATACACCAGTGAGTCGTGGGTGTTTGTGCGGTCCCCCCCACAGGCACACCGCAGCAGGTGGTTCGGGAGGCTCCTGTCCCGTATGTCCGACCGCTTCCCTTTGCAGGGGCACTTCTCCGTTACCGCCAGGGGCAGTCCAAGGTGGAAGCCGAGCACTACTGCAAATTGTCCGGGTGAGAAGGTGAGGTCGCCTCTAGTGGGGATCGCGTGAAGCCAATCTCCAGCCCCCACCCACTGCAGCACTATGAGTCGTATCACATGTCCGTTGTCCACTCCTGGCTTATCCTTCCGTGTGTCACCTACCAGCTCCGCCGCCCTGTCCAGGTTAATGTGTCGTGACAGGATTAGCTGCATGTGCCCTTTCCCGTCCCCTTTCTGGTGGTGCGCCTTCAGGACCTCTTGGGCCTGCTCTGGGACCGGGTTCCTAAGGTCCTGGAGTGTCTCCCCCTCTCCCGCCGTCCCTCCTTCCTCCCTCATGAGAGAGAGCAGGACCGCCACCTGCTCCAGGGGGTTGTCTGACGACATCACCGTTTGTCGTAGTAGAGTGTTCGCCGCGCGTAGAGAGGCGAGGTATGCCGCTGGTGCCTCCGAGAGTGGGTCTATCAACCCCAGTCCCCCTAGGCACACCAGTAGCGTGGCTTGGCGCCACACAGGGCTCTGCTCTAGTTCGGTAGCCGGTGCGTACATCTGTGCTGCCTTCAGTGCCGTCTAGAGCGATTCCTCACTCCAATCTCTCCACTCCACCAGAGGCAGTGTGTCGGCCGGGTTGGTCTGGAGCATGTACAAGACACGCCGTGACACGCATCTAGAGAGCAGGAGGAGTGCGTTCTGTGGGTGCATTTTGTTGATGAGGTTCAGTGGCGCCGCTAACACGCTTAGAGCTGTTCGTATGAACCTCCGCCCGTACTCCCTCGTCCCCACCGGGCTCCCAAGCACACGAATGCCGTCGATCGCCGCCACCAGCTCCTCTGGGAGTTCATTTGAGCAACCTGCCGGGCACCACGCTGAAGATTTCTCCAAGTTGCACCTCAGTCCACACTTCCGTAGCTCCTCCGTGATGACGTTCACCCCCTTAATCGCCTCTGCCGGGGCCCCAACGATTGTGATATCATCTGCGTATGCCATTACCACCGTCGTAGAGCACATCGCCGCTGCCTTTAGTAGGGTTGGTTGGATGGCTGCCGCGAAGAGCATCGGTCCAAGAGGGTCTCCTTGCCGTACGCCTCGTGCGCTCTCAATGTATCGCGCTTCAAACCCCTGGTCTAAGAGAAGGCGCGCCAGGGAGCCATACATCGTGCAGACTAGCGGGAGGAGTTGGTTGAGCGTCGTCCACTGGAGTGATGTGAAGAAGCTTCCTCGTTCAACCGAGTTGAACGCGTTTTCCACGTCGAGTTGTATGGCGATTCGACTAGGGTCGTCCACCAGAAGGGCTCGCATAGTGTGGATAACCGTCTTCGCACGCTGAACTGGACTGGGAGGAAAAACCGACGGATGTCGGCCGAGAGTTTCCGCAGAGCCGCTTTCACCGCTACCCGAAGTATCGCTTCGCCTATCGCGATCGGTCTGACCCCCCCTCCTGGCTTTTCCAGCGCTATTAGTCGAGAAGGCAGTAGCAGGTCTCTCAGCGGCTCGTTTAGGTATGTGCTTAGTAGCGTGTTAATGACTTGGTGAAATAGCGTGAAGACCTCCCCGTTCACCAGCGCGGGGTCCCGTAGGTGTTCGAAGCACGTACCAGATGGGCCAGCCCCGATCCCATTCGGACACTTAGCTAATACCTCGCGGAACTCGTTTGTAGTTATTGCTAGGGACGAGGAGGCGTATCCAGTAACCTATCCTGGTGTGGCCTCCTCTGCCTTCAGGTGTTTAGCGTGAAGGGTTGCGAGTGTCGCGGGCGACTGTTCTGCGAGGGGTGTTGCCTGTAACGCCGCCAGTGCCTTTGCCAGGTTTGCAGGTTTGCCTTTCGTACCAGGCCCTCGGCTCTGGCACACATGCCTTCAGGGTCCGGTTGGTGCCTGCTTGGTTGGGAGTTCGGGGGGATCGTGCTGGCTTCCGAGAATAGCAACTCCCACTCTTCCTCTTGGATTTGCTGTAGGCGTTTTTCAACCGCCCTCCATCGATTTCCCGGAACATTCTCAGTTTCGGCTCGTAGGGTCAGCCTTGGTAGGAATTGGAGGATTCGCCACGCCCCCACACAACCTGGAAACTTCGTGTTGTTTGCCACGTGACTCGCCCACGTTGGCGTATGCAGCATTCCCTCCCCTCCTTGTTCCACAATCTACGGTTGTAGATGGGATTCCTTGCTCGTCCTCCAGTGACACGTCTTCGGAGTCCCCTTGTTCCTCCTCCCGATATTCCTCATCGTCCTCGTCTCCATCTTCACCTATTGGCCATTCCGACTGCCTTCTCTGCTGTCTCTCAGGCCTCCCGTGTCTTTCCCGCAACGGTCCAGATCTGGCCTTCTCCCTGGCTACTGCTGCCGCTAGGCCCCCTCGCCCTCCCCTTCCGCGCGCGCCTCTTCTGCCTCTCCCGCCACGTCCCCTCAGCGAGTTCGGTGCTCGTCCCTGTGCGTTCCCTGGCAGTTTTCCCGCCGCCGCTTTAGCCGTGCGTTCTCGCAGCAGCCTTTGTCGTGCCGTACCCCCTCGTCGCCGATCGATCGCGGTCACGCGTTCCTCTTCCTCCTCCGCAACTGCCTCTTCCGCCTCTGCTACTAGCCGGTCGGCCGAATCGTGAGGTTCCCCAGCCTCGTCCCTTTCCCCAGATGACGGGCAAGCGGCAGCCGCCTCGGCATGATGTGATCGTGGCAACGGGATCCCCTGCTGTGCCCACCCCACAAGGGGCCCCAAGCGGGCAAGTGCTAGCCCTGCTCTGAGCCGCCGCGGACTGCCTAGCGGCAGGGTTGGCGCCGACCCTTCAGCACCGCCGAGTGTGGCGGCAAGGCCGAGGGAGCCTCGTGGTCGGACCTCGTATATCGCTCCCCTCGTGGTCGGACCTATCCTCGCCTTTGAGCGCGCGGCCAGTCCTTCCGTCGCCATCGTCTGCCACGCCCGCCGTACTATGGCCAAGCTCCCCATCGACCGCAACTGCCTGTTCCTGCCGCCCATTCTCAGCCGTTGCAGCTTCCTCCGCCTCTGTCACCGTCGCAGTCAGCATCGTCACAGCCTCCTCTGTCGTCGGTGCCGACGTTTTCTTCATCTCAGGATCCTCCCTCATAGCCGCCCTTGCTGCAGCAGGCATTGGCGCCCACTCTACCGACGTGGGCATCAGTTCTCGCACAGCCGCCGCCTCGGCCTGTGTCGGTTCCGTCCGCGGTTGTCCAGCCCTCCGCCTCGCCGCCGCTTGCCGCACCAGCGTCCCGCTTACCGTCATCCCTGCAGCCTCCATCCCCTCCGCCTCTTCTGCCGCCCTTGTCGGTGCTGACTCCCGGTGTTCCGCCCGCTCCTCCTCAGCCACCCCAAGCGGGGCCAGCTGCGTCGGCTCCTCCCCCACTCTAGGAGCCTCTTCCTCATGTTCCCCCTCCTCGCCCGCCTCGTCGCCAGCACCCCCTAGTGCCAGGATCTCGTCTCTCTCTCTCTCTCTCTCTCTCTCTCTCTCTCTCTCTCTCTCCCTCTCTCTCTCTCTCTCTCTCTCTCTCTCTCTCTCTCTAATGGTCCGTGTATTAATAAACCAGGAGGGTACAAACATGCAAGGTAAGGCAAGTACTGAAATGCAAACATCCAGTCTATCATACCAGCACTATCCCCTAGATCTCTAGTAGGGGCTCAATTACTGCAAAGCAGTCTCCCAGATACAACTCTGCCCCAATCCCTCCCACAGGTGGGTTCTCAGCAGCTGCCGCCTCGCTCGACTTCAGCAGGTAGCCAACCGATTGGGCCCTCTGCAATGCAACCGACCACCTCTGTCGGAACTGGTGCAGGAATTTGGCGGCTTGGAAGGATTTTGAGTCGGCGTTGAAGTATCGCCGAGCCGCCGTGTCCGCTAGTAGCTTGAGGAAGACCGGAACTTCAGCACATGGGCATCCGTAAGTTTCTACAGCCAAGGGGAAGAACCCCACGGTCTCTGGTCGGTTAGCGTAATGCTTGATCTTCTTGTCGGCCTGCTCCCGGGCTGCCCATTCCCTGCCTTTCGTTGCCTCGGGATCCCTTGTGCTGATGGGGTCTGTGATTGTGGCATCACACACCCAAATCGCCCCGCTGCTATGGTCACTCATGGTGAAGTCGGCTGTTTGTTCCTCGATCGGACAGAAGGCTGCTGACTCGCTGTGGACAATGAACCCCGCGTCTTGGGCCATGCTGATGCATGCGTCCCGAAGTTCGTTGTGGGTGTTAATGCGGTGCTTGCCCATGCCGCAGCGGAAGAGGTGGTTTGGTAGACGTGGGTCGGGGATGGCTGTTTGGTCCGTGCAGTCGCAGTTCGCCGGCGTAGAGAATGGGAGGCCGAGCCGGAAGCGAACAGTGTTAGCGAAGTGTACAGGTCCAATGCGCCGATTTGCCGCGATGGGGATGGTGGTCAGCCAGTCTCCTATGCCGTACCCGGTCAGCGAGAACATCCGTTGGGTGTGGCCTGATAGCGGATTCGGCCTCATGCACCTACTCTCCTGGACTTGGACGGCATACCTGCTCCCCTGGACTTTCAGAGCAAGCTCGTGCTGGAACCTCAGATCCGACCGCGCCAGTCTCTCCTTTTCCAACAGTTCACGTGCGTCAGTAGGCAGAGCCAGTTCGCACTCAGTGAGCCAGGTGTGTAGTGGCGAGGTGACGTCCCGGGGCAGTAGCATGTGGTTCCGGACTTGTGCCAGGGCACTATCCGATGCTAGTGTGAGGGATGCGAGGAAAAGCGCCGCCTGGGTGAAACTCGCCAGAAAGCCGTGCACACCCTCTACTAAGGGATCCGTAATACCAACCCCGCCTAACGACGGAGGGAGCGACGCCTGTGCCCAAACTCTTGAGTGCTCAGTGCTACACGAGGGGACCCGGATTCCGCATGAAGTGAGAAGCGCGGCTAGCTGGTCTCTGCCCCATTGAGACCACGTATTGCGGGAGAGGAGGTTGAGTGGGATCGTTCTAGTGAGGTAGGCTACACGCCTGGAGATGTAGCGAGTTAGCAGCAGTGAGGCAACTTGGGGGTCGGCTCGTTCGAGGAGTGGTAATGGCTTCGCCATCTCCTCCAGTTGCCCTGCTAGGAAATTGGCGGCGCCGTTGGCAGGGCCCAGGTAACTACCGAGGAGGCGCACCCCATCCTTGGAAAATGGGACCCCGGGTGGTAGCTGGGTAGTCACGACGGTGGCTAAGCTCCAGGCTGCGCATTTCTCCGGGTTATGAGCCAGGCCTAGGTGCGCCAGTTTGTTGGTGAAGAATGTGAATGCAGCTACAGTGTTCTCCTGTTCTCCCATGAACGTCACGTCGTCTGCGTACGCCAAGCAGAGAACTTCCGGGTGTGCAGCGGCGGTCTCGCGGAGTGCAGGGTGTATTCCGGCTGCAAAAAGAAGTGGGCCAAGCGGGTCGCCCTGCCGGACACCCCGTTCGCTACTCAGTGGGGTCAGCCAGTCTGACCGGAACAGGTGCAGGAAGAGGAGTGAGAGTGGTGCTGTCACGAAAGAAACAGCGCGAGGCGCCGGAGTCTAACGTGAAAGTGTGCAGAGCCTCAGCAGGCGCAGTTCCAGGGGGAGTACCAGACGCACTAGCACCTAGAGCAGCAGCGGCTATACCTGGGTCAGGCGGCACACACCAGTAACAGTCACCCTCAGCACTAAAAGACAAAGCATACATGGCAGAGATAATAACATCAAAGTCTAGGTCAAAGATGGCAACTCCCAACCTAAGCAACTCATCCCAGCGAGGGCGCTCGACGTCATCACCAAACTCAGTGCGCCAGGCGTCGTCAAGGCGGGCAAAGCAGCGGCGCTCAGTGTGAAACCGCCCGCATGTCTTGCCTGCATGGGCACCCATGCGAATGACATACGGGCAGGTCTCACTACCCTCGCCCGCCCCACGCTGAACCAACCACTCACGGAGCTGCTGAGGCGTCTGAGTCTCGCTCCGATGCTGCTGCTGCTGGCCCCGACCGCCACCAGGGCCTCCACGCTGAGGTCCCGACCGACTACCACTGGTCCCACCGCCTCCACTGCCGCCACCCCCTCCGCTGCCTCCACCGCCGCCACCAGAGCCTCCACCTCCGCCACCAGTCCCACCGCCGCCACCACCTCCACCGCCTCCGCCTCCTCTACCGCTGCCCCCACTGCCACGCCCACTGCCACCTCCACCACCACCGCTGCCTCCTCCACTACCCCGGCCACCCTTGCCCTTGCTGTTGCGGCGCTTCGTACTAGTCGAAGCAGCACCGACGTCCTCAGGAAAAGAGACGTCTGCAGCAGCAGCAGAGGCGAAGGAGGAGGAAAGGGGGGAGGGGGAGCACCCCTCAAAGAAGGGTGAGTGCGGGGTGCCACGAGCAGCACCTACAGCAACTGCACTAGTCTCAGCTGCGAGGAGATGCTGCTTGAGGAGGTCAACAGTGAAGGAAGTGGGGTCGAGGGTGAGGAAGTGGTCCCTGACAGAGCGAAGGGAGTCAGGGAGGCGGGTGACTATGAAGTAGAGGGTGATGAACATGGGAGGCTGGTTCGTGAGAAGGAAATCAGCTGGAACGGTAGCGCGGTAGCGAGCGTCGCTAGTGCGCAGGTGGGTAACCAGGTCCGCTACTGTGGCAAAGGCCGACAGCTCAGGGAACAGGTAGGGCAGTAGCAGTCTGCCAAGAGCAGCAGTGGCAGGGGAGGAGTAGCGAGCAACGACAGCGTCGTACAAGGTCTGTGCTGTCCTGTGCTCACCAAAGTGAGCACATTCTGTTGCGGGCAGGTGGTTGCGAATGGCCAAGCGGGCAGTAGCGTCACGAGAGAGCCACTGGGAACGAGTCGAAACGTCAGCTGTGGCGGGAGGGGCTGGAGCGGCATCGGACACAAGGTCAAACAACGAAACACTGTCCCGACTGTCGCTCAGTAGGTACAGTTGCAGATCGTCGTGCCACGTGTCAAAAGCTACAGGTCTACCCTCCGGGTCGAACGGGAGAACTCTAAGCAACGCCATAGGGGCAGAGGAGCCTGGGGGCCGCGGGGCCAAACAAGGGGCCGGGGGGCCTAGGGGGGGGGCCGAGGGGCCTAGGGGGGCCGAGGGGCCAAACAAGGGGCCGGGGGGCCGGGCGCCGGTCTCTGAGGTGGGGCCGAGTGGCCTAGGGGCCGCGGGGCCAAACAGGGACCCGGGGGGCCTAGGGGGGGGCCGAGGGGCCTAGGGGGGGGGGGGGGGGCGAGGGGCCTAGGGGGCCGAGGGGCCAAACAAGGGGCCGGGGGGCCGGGCGCCGGTCTCTGAGGTGGGGCTGAGTGGCCTAGGGGCCGCGGGGCCAAACAGGGACCCGGGGGGCCTAGGGGAGGGCCGAGGGGCCTAGGGGGCCGAGGGGCCATACAAGGGGCCGGGGGGCCGGGCGCCGGTCTCTGAGGTGGGGCCGAGGGGCCTAGGGGCCGCGGGGCCAAACAAGGGGCCGGGGGGCCTAGAGGGGGCCGAGGGGCCTAGGGGGCCGAGGGGCCAAACAAGGGGCCGGGGGGCCGGGCTCTGAGGTGGGGCCGAGGGGCCTAGGGGCCGCGGGGCCAAACAAGAGGCCGAGGGGCCTAGGGGGCCGAGGGGCCAAACAAGGGGCCGGGGGGGCGGGCGCCGGTCTCTGAGGTGGGGCCGAGTGGCCAAGGGGCCGCGGGGCCAAACAGGGGGCCGGGGGGCCTAGGGGGGGGGGCGAGGGTTCTAGGGGGGCGAGGGGCCAAACAAGGGGCCGGGGGGGGCCAGGCGCCGGTCTCTGAGGTGGGGCCGAGGGGCCTAGGGGCCGCGGGGCCAAACAAAGGGCCGGGGGGGC